ACTGTAGTCAGTATGGTCTGTGCAATTTCATGCTGAGTGGTATTGGATGCTGGTGCCTCCCCAGTCATGTTCATGAAACCTCTCTTGTACTGTTAAAAAAAAGGAGAGGGAGAGAGAGAGAAAAAAAAATACATCAGTGTGATTAAATACTAAAGCTGGACTTGTGTTCAACTGCATTCTGGCTCCACGGGTACAAGCATAATCCTAGAGGGGCTGGGATTATTATATTCTTGGGATGAGTCACTAAAATTGATTTTATCTATTACTGAAATATTCTGAAGGATGAGGAAAGAACAGCACTAAACCCTGAATTTACATCTTACTCTCAGGTGGAAAAGACAGGAGGAAATTGTTCAACTTATTAAAATGTTACCAGGCATAAAATTAAAAACAGTTATGAAATGTTATTATAAAACCGAGGCAGGAGATAGCTTTTTGGCCAGATTACTTGAGTGCCACGTTTATTTGCCATCTGTTAACAATGCAGTTCTTTACTCCTGAAGAGCTACATAGGTATTGCCACAGACTAGGGCTGTGCAAAGCTTCAGTTGCTGATTTGATCTGGAGGAGATTTGGCCCAATTCGGTGGCCAAATCTCCAAATCCGAATCGAATCAGGAGACCCTTGAATCTCTCCGAATCAAATAAGAGCCCTTCGAATCGATTCAGAGAGATTCGACAATTCAGACATAGACACAGCTTTAATTGTTTTTTTACATACCTCAAGTTACAGCTCATGAATGATGAAATGGTGGGGTGGATGAAGTGTCCCACAGGAGTGTGGAGGGGGTCCCCAGTGTGCTCGGTGGCGGACCCAGAAGTGGACCAGAAGCACTTCTGGGATCACCGTGGAGCGCGCAGGGGGCCTCCACTCCCCGGCTTGGCAACAGGTGCCTCCTGGGTCTGGGGGGACACCTGCGGTCCCCACATGGCCAGTTGCCAAGCCAGGGGGCAGGGGAGGGAGTCCACCATTGAGCACGTGGGGGGCTCCCCCACACTCCTGTAGGACACTCCATTTGCCCCACCATCTCAGCATTCACGAG